CTGAGGGCGCATTAATTTTCCTTGCCCAGGACGCATAGTTTTCATGATCTTAAAATGATATCACGTGTTTTTTAATAAAACGGGAGGGTTCTWTATAAATGTGCTAAATTCGAATAAGGTAATTTAATTTTAACATTCGCTAACAATAGGCTTTTTCCGTTTAACGACATATGCAATTTATATCTAGTTTTGTTATCTAATTACTACATGACAGTGTATACGCTGTTGAACTTCTGCAACAAAACTAATTACATCGTATAATAAATCCCGCTGTATACATTGATGGTCATGCGTTAATGGTGGTTGTGTCATTGTTTAGATACCTATTAGAAAAATAGAACAATCGTTAAATTTATGTGATTATATACAATTTAATTTATCTTATAAGTACCTATATCTATATTTTCAAATGACAACATTATAAAATATAAATCTATAAATCTTTTTTCTATTGATTAAATATTAAAATATATTTTAATTGTAGGTATTTCACTCATTTATTTTGGCTGTTGTTTATCTACAAAAATTATTAGATTAAACTTAACTTCTGATCAGAAAATTAGACGAGTTGAAAGTGTGTGATAATAATATTGGGAGGGGGGGGGGTTTGAACTCATATCAACACAATAGATCACACCAATATAGTTCAAAAACAATTAAAACTTTAAATAATAATTTATTTTATACAAATAGTCAACTTTTCATTTTAAAATTTGAGACGTAGCTGCAGTCTTGTATTATAGTAGGTAAGCATAGTTAAAAATGTATGAATTAAAAAGAAATAATGTACTAGAGTCAAGTAATTGTAGCGTTAAAATGTTAAATGATATTTTGTCTTAAATTAAATAGCTTATCAAAAAATAAAACGTTTATCGTTTTAAAAAATTGATTGGATGGGGGGGGGGACGGTGTGAGATTTTTAAAATCTAAAAGGGGCGTTGAGTAAAAAAAGGTTGGGAAACACTGTACTAGACCTATGTATAATAATATCATGTATTGATGTATTCACTTATTTCACTTATACTTTATACTTAACCCCATGCTATAGTTAATAAATACTATGTATTATAAATTGTAAGTCACAAATTAATTCTTAAAAATGAAAAGCATATTTAAAAAAAAATGGCAATTGRATTTACAACGTACGTTAAAACTCTAGATAATAGTTAATAAGTTCAATTTTATCAAACTTTTATAATTTTTTTCATAGATAATATATTATGATTGTTTGCGAAAAAACAATTCTACTATACACTACGATTAAACACTTTAAATTATAGTAATCTAAATATTTATTTTTTGGTGCTTTTTCGGAGTAATTGAATATACAGATGTAAACACGTCGTCCATTGTAATATGATATTTTGCCAAATATTTATTTACTTGAACAAAAATGTTTGTCATGCGACAACTATTCAAAAATTCGATAAATTAATTAGTAACTCTTCTCGTTCAAACAACTTGTATACGAAAAAACAATTATAACAATGTACTAAATTGTTAATCGATATAGTTAGGTAAATGATTGCTATGCGTGTTTTAAATTTCAGCTATTAATGTTTCACTCAAATTAAGATTGTTGTTGATAACAAATATTGATGTAGTAATAGGAGTCAAAAAACATTTCAGAAAATATGCGTGTGAAAAACAAAAAAACAATTGGATATTTTCCAAGTAAACCCATGATATAGTAAATATATTTTTAAGGCTGTTCTGACTGTAATATGATGGTACAAAACGACGAACATCATAACATTGCATACGAATTAATAAAAAAAAAAAATAATATTATATACAATATGTTTATGTGATCAATAAAAATGTTTACGTTCGCATATACAATGTCGATGTTTATGTGACGTTCATATAGATAATTCAAACAAATGTTTATATATAGATAATGGGTACACTCTTTGTGAATTTTTTATTTTTGCGTGTTTGATGGGGCGTGCGTCCTTGACCGAGTGACTAATTTTTTTCAGATCCTTCTTGGGTTTTTAGATTATTTATTTAATATTTTAACTCTACCGTWGGAAATTTTTCAATGCATGAAGCCATGAATAATATAGCGCGAAGAGAATAAGTTTTTTAAATTAAAACGAGCATTTATTTTAGTGTTTTCTTTATTAACATTATTCTCGATCGTGCATATTGTGTAAACTTCAACTTATTTGACTAGAACTAAATATACGAATTTAACGTATTACTGTGCTCATCATCGCGACGCAACGATTATATAAATACGATAATTATTATGATAATACATAATATTATCAACGGTGCAGGCTGTGCAGTAGATAATATTTATATACATACGCATGTTATGTGAYGCGCGTTTTCTAACGTACGATTCTAGCAAGATGGTTTAAAGAGAGTGAACGGATTTCTTCGGGGTCTCAGGGTTTTTGTCTGGGGATTTTGGACTATAGTCACATCGTTTCTAACAGGACGCGTTATGGATGACACTTTATCGTTGAAGTCAAGCTATATAACTAACGTATATAATATATATATATGACGGTGTGGTAATCATCCCCTCGGGTTAATATCACAATCGTTATTAAATTTAGAGCTATCGGTTCGAATTATTTCGAATATTATTGTAGAAGATATTATTTACGATTTTATGATGGCAATAGTTCAAAATAATACGTGATCTTTTCCTTGTAAAAATATAGTGCTCTTTTTAAATGCATTGTTTTAAAAATGTTGAGCATTTACCGAAGCAATACTACATAGATTCATACTTTAATTTTTGCAAGAAAAAAATTTAAGTTTTAGGATACTTTTATTAGTTATTCACATTTTAAATAGAAAAATCGCATTATTATCGATTAATAATTTCTAATTGGTAAGCAGAATAGTATTTTTCAAAAAATATAGWTTCGTTTGTTATTTTAAATTGTACGCTAATTAGTTGTTTACACAACTTACTTATGACCTCTGCTCATCAGTCAYATTTGATTTTGAAATCGTAAAAGCAAGCCATTTATTATTAAATGTTAGTATATATTACTATAAATGATGTGCACCAACAATAATTGTAGAAAAACATTCTGCTATTCTATTAAATATTTATAAAAAAAAGTGCATTTGATAAAAAGTATAGGTTTTACCGAAGGAAATAAATAAGTACGCTATAATAAGCGCAAGTGTTACAACGTGTACATAGAAATAGTCAAAGTAAACCGAATGTCAAAAAAAAAAAATTCGTCAGCCGTAAACGTTATTATTTATACCGTAATCACGAAAATGTCATCTCGTGGTGATCAACGCCAGCGTGGAGAATTTATGCGTCCCGAGAAAAATACACGTAGACTAGGTGCGCACTAGCTATTGTGCAGTGGGCGTGGGACGGAAGCGTTTCCGGTCCCGTCCTATCCCGTCCTGTATCGCGCTACAATCGACTACACACGTGCTTTCCGATAAACGTGCGCATACCTATTTAATAATATATATTCCATGCATCGCATCCGTTTTATGAGGTATCGTACTATGTGACGTATACAAACGAGTATAAAGATATTATCATCGTCGTCGTCGTCGTCATCGTGTACCTACTACCTAATATAGTAAGTTGTAGATGTTATAACATTATCATGTCTAAGTAAAGCACATACGATTTATCGGGCATACACACACATACAAAATAAATGTTTAAATCGTATACGGGCACGGAATTAAAAATAATAAACTCAATTTGACGTTATGAGCGCATGCTCTTCACTATATTGTACACACAAGATACAAGAAACATATTATCATCATTAATAGGATTAAATATAAGCATGAGCATATTGAACATTACATCATGCGCGACGCTGCACACCCGTCCGGATAGCGTTTGATATTATTATTATTATTATTATTATCATCATCATTATTATTATATCCCTCCGGCAGTTAACGCGTCTATTAGTAGGTACTTAGGACTTGGCAGCCATAATGGCGTGGAATATACATTAAATTATTATTGTTTTCCACAATTACACCGTATTGTAAATCTTGGTTTTTTCACATTTTTTTTTTATTACTAATATTATCATATCGCTGTATTAATTTAAATGTATTTAATACGCATGATGTATATGAATAATATATATATATATATATACATATTTTATAATATAATATATAAAATATATATGAGGTGATTTTTCGTAACTTTAGTCAGTTTGTTATTCATTAGAAAAATGTTTACGGCGTCATTTGAAGAACTTATAGAAACAAAATTTTTATACAAAAATTTAATATTTTACTAATGTTGAAACATTATAATATACTGTTATTCAATTTATAGACACTTATTACTTAGTTTTGTATTATGAAGCAGAATAATATATTTCTGAAAACGTTGCAAACCATTATAGTCTAATCGATTTCTACTACATTATATTGTTTTTTTATTGTATTGGTACATCTTTTCGCTATCCCGGATTAACCCGAAATATGTATATAATGATTAACTACACTGATGTACATTATGCATAGATTTTATTGATACCAATATTTTTAGTCAAATATTCGGATGTTTTCAGAATATAATATAAAAATTTGTACCTAGTTTAAAACAGTGTAAAATTTATAAAATTGTTAAGGCTCTAATTTTTTCGTTAATCGTTTGATTTTTATAGAAAATGTACAAAATATATAATACCGCGTCAAACTAAACAACAATCATCACCTTGATGTATATATATATATATTATTATATTATTTACTATAATATTATACATATACTTATAAATTACAATATTATAATATGCAGTGTATAATGTTATACAGGTATATAATATTATAATATGCGATGTATTRTTCTTACTATTATCATWATCATCATACTATTATTTTACCATTCATATTGTGTTATTATTATTATTATAATTAAATATTTGATATTTGATATTTTACATATTATTATTATTATACGTTGACGGCTTTTGCACGTACTCGCACGTACATACATTTTGTTTGCAGCTTTTGGCCCCGCATGCCGCAACATGTCCTACCGCTCGCTGGCTGCCGACCGCGTGTACAAAGCGACCACGGACGACCTGCAGCCGGAGCGGAAGAACTCGGTCGGTACTGTTTTTAAAAAGGCTTTCGGCACGCTAAGCTCCAGTCCCCGGCGCAGGCTGTCCGAGCCGCTTATGTCCGGCGTGCCCGTAATCGGCACCGGAAACATCAACACGCCGCTCAGGTATATTACAACACGCGCGTATAAAAAAAAATTATATTATATTATACGTATAATAGGTACACCTATGTATTATTATCATCATCGTGTGCACGCGCCGAGGTCGAAGATAATCCGACACCACAGTGTGTATAATTTTTAACACCAACAATACCACGATACCCGTATTATAGTTACACGGCTATAATACAGCGCTGATACTTTACATGGATTTTTCCTCCCCATTTTTTATATGTTCTTAATGATACCGTAATATTGTGCTTATTAGAATTATGTAGGTATAACAATATTACGCTTTTATAAATAGGTACCTATACTATAGTAATATTATTATTATATGTGTTTTAAAACATTTAGTGTTTTACGGCATTTAAGGACTGTTTATACGGGGTGATTCGTTTAATGTAAAACACTAATTTTTTTTCATAAAATACAAAAAGTTTTTGAAATAATGAATGTCTACGACGTTAATTGGAACACTGGCACATTATACTGTGGTTGAAATCAATAAAACAGAATTTAAAAATAAAAACTCAATTGATTTTTATTGATCATTGAATACTGTTATAATCACCATAGGATAAATTATAAATGYCTTAAATTACGTAAGAATAGAGTTACTCGAATACGAGAAATAAACTAACCCATACTTAAGAAYTTAAAACTAAGTTTTGTGTAGATTCATGACTTCAGTGTAAACATTTAGCGAGTACAATCAATTAAAAATCAAACGTCATTACCGCACAAATGTACAAAAAATAAATAGTATAAAATCGCACAAAGATTTTAAAATACTTGATATATCATTAGTGATTATCGAAAATKAAGTCGTACTATATTTATCATATACTAAAAAAAAAGCCATAACTCGGAATTATTTGAACACCCTAAGAAATTCATGTTGGACAATTTTTATGATWAAGAAATCATTTTTCAGTTTCACATATAACTGTAAAACGTATTCGATAGTAGAAGTTATTAGCGTGAGACATGCGGTTTTAACGTAGCCCAATAATAATTTCTGGTAYTCAGTCTAGCCAACTTAAACATTTGATTTTTGATTTTCATTAGTTTTTGGTCTACCCTCTGAAATTAGGACATTTTAGTGTACAACAGAGGACAACTACTGGGAAGAGGTAAGAATAACGGTACGTGTATGATCATCCTATTCTGTATATCTACTATATAGATTATAAATGTTATTAGTAATTATTCTGATGTAGCACAGACATTTTTGATTTTAGATTTTTAAATTTAAATTTTTATTGGTTTCAATAAATCTGCGAAGTATTATACTATTTTTTATGTACCGAATTTATCTACATATTTTTATAAATCTGAGTGGTATCATACTACTTTTATTTTTATACGGTATTGGGTCATGTTTGTGCGGTAATGGAAAGCAACGTAAAAATCACCATGTCAATTTTACATTGTATGCAATATTTATTAAATACATTATGTATGCGTAATATATGATATGTTACTAACCATGATGATACCAACACACATATATAYCTAGTAGCATAGTTCGTCAACACTGTAGTAGCAGTACATAATAAATATACCTACTACATGAAATATTAATTTATCATCGATATGTGTCATCGTATTCAAGGATTCAGTACAAACTTTGAAAATGATTTCCAGCTAGTGCAATGATGAGTGCGGACTCACTAGGATGTGCTCATTCTCRGGGACGGTATGGAAAATGATAAGATAGTCTTTTATATTATACCCGTACCTTCCCCTACATTATACATTTATACCGACACACGAATATAGGACGAATAACCTTGATTTCTCGTTGCCAGTGTCAACAGTACACACTATTATACAAACAACTGGAAAACACTTAGGCGTTATACATAATATTATGACAGACGATAGTATGGGTACCTACATTACGATTCTTATAAAATATTGTTTAATATTATGATGGATATACAGGGTGATTCATTTATCATGGACCATTCATTATTTTAAAAAGTATCAATGTTTTTGAAAATATTTTTTTACAAAGTTTCATGTTGTTAAAAAAAAATATATTTATATCCTTATAATTGTTTAAGTGTTTAACTTTTTTGAATGACAACCTAGAGTTTTAATTTCATATTCCCAAGCAGAATATTTTTCTAAGTATTTTGATACATAAAAAAGGTAGGTAAGTCGTGGATGTCGCTCTGCTGTACAGTAGGTTACAAATAGGTTATTGTAATGTATGGAATTAAATTT